AGGCTCTAGGGACCTGGTCAAAATTACTGCGGCTGGAGCAGCAGGACGCGGCCAAGGGATCAAGTTAAAATTCTGGGCAGGCAAAAACCGAAGCGTGAGGAGTGAGGGTGGCCCGTGGCTAGCTGCTGTGGTGAAAAGGAGAGCCAGAAAGCAGGACGGGCTCTCATGGAGCTGCCAGTAAGAGGGGAAGACGTGATGAAATCTCAGACTCTCCTACCAATAGAAAAACAAGTGTGTAACAGTTTGGCTACCGGATCTGGGCGCTTTGGTTGGTAAGGGACGAGAGAAATAGAGGAGGCATTGCAGGTTCCACAAAGTGATCGTTCACAGAGGCGTTGGAGAGGGAATCTGGCCCTTGTGTTAGAGCCTGGGATTGTTAAGACGGATGGCACAGAGTAAGAATGAATGCAGGTAGGGGAGGTTAGGCTCCGAGGTTAAGAACCAAATAGGTAAGGGAAAGGAAGGGGTGACATCAAAAGATACTCCAAGAGTCTACAGATTCACCTGAAAAGAGCACACCTGCCTCTTGATTCATTCAGAAGTTAGATTTGGAAGGCCGAGGAATAAGTAGAGAATTGGAAATTAGTTCCTCGTAAGAAATACCTCATGTGGTGTTTCCGTGCTCGTACAGAATCCGCGCACAGGTGACTTATGAAACCTAAATAGAGACGGATATTCATGGGGAAGAGGACAGTGGGACAAGAACTGACTGAGGCCTGGCTGGCTCAGTGGTTGAGCCTCGATCTATGAACCAGGAGGTCACGGTTCGATTCCCGGTGCGGCACATGCCGGGGTTGTGGGCTTGCTGGGGGGCATGCTAGAGGCAGCTGATCAATGATTCTCTCTCATTGATGTTTCTCTCTACTCCCTTCCTCTCTGAAATAAGTAAAAAATGTGTTTAAAAAAGAACTGATTGACTACTCAATAATTATCACCAGCAGATGTGCTGGATCATGGATAGAGACCAGCACATCCACGAAGATGTATGTATCTTGATGGCACAGGATGCAAGTGGGAGGGGTGAGAAATTCCTGCCCATCCTCCTGCTCAGTACTGCACGTGCTCAGAATCTGCTCATAATGGGTGATAATTAGGTAAGCAGCCGTCCAAAGGTCTCAAAGAGCACATTCTACCTCTTCTTTTTGTCAGACTCAATGATCCTGAGCCCTGGGGTAAAAGAGAAGAGGAATACCCAATAGGTATTCTTTGCAAAGGGAACCCACAAAATATCTTTTAGAGGGAGGAGAATTTGGGAGTGGACGGGGTAAAAATGATTTCAGGCATGGAAGTGCAATAATTCCACAGGGGAAGGGAAGGGAGGAGCAGCCATGGAAAGAGAACAAGGGAGGGAGAGGAGGCACATCACAAACTTATAGAGGGAGGGCACCAAAGAATACATAGGTCAAGAGTGAATTTATAAGAGTTCGAATCTCTAGAAAATCTCCCCAAGGAGGGAAGGAGAAAGCAGGTAATGTATTTAGTGCCTCTTGGAAAGGGGTAGGAAATATACTGGCAGCAGCAATAACAAGGAAAGTCACTCCATTTTAGGGCACATTGACTCCTACCTTGAATATATATCCTTCAACTATCCTTCAACCCTTAAACTCTTTGGCTCCTCACTTTCACTGATTCAAAAGCCATATATATCCTATATAATCAAAGCCTAATATGCTAAGTGTCCAGTCGTCCGGTCAACCAATTAAAGTGTAATATACTAATGATATGCTAAGGCCGCTCAACCGTTCACTATGATGTGCACTGACCACCAGGGGGAAGATGCTCTGATTGGTAGGTTAGCTTGCTTCTGGTGTCCAGCCGATCGGGACTGAGCGAGACGGGCAGGACATGCCCTGGAGCCCTCCCGCAGTCCCTCCCTGGCTGGCCAACCTCCCGTGTCTCTCCCCTGCCCTGATCATGCACCGGTGGAGTCCCTCGGCCTGGCCTGCACCCTCTCGCAATCCGGGACCCCTCAGGGGATGTCAGAGAGGGGGCTTCGGCCCGATCCCACAGGGGGAGCGCCACTCAGCCAGAAGCTGGGCTCACAGCTGGCAAGCGCAGCAGCAGTGGTGGCAGTGCTAAGGATGTCTGTCAGCTTAGGCCCACTCCCCCCTAAGCCATCAGTCAGACATCCCCCAAGGGCTCCTGGACTGCGAGAGGGTGCAGGCCTAGGTTTGAGGGACCCCCCCCCACCCCCCCCCCACCCCCCCCCCGTGCTCTGTGCACGAATTTCGTGCACAAAGCATCTAATATATATATATATGCCAGCCCACACCAATATAAAAGAACAAGAGCATTAAAAAAGGGCTTTAAAAGACAATTAAATGACAAGGAATTAAATAGAACTATATTATAGATTTATTAATGAAAAATACTTTACAAAAACAGTATGTTTGGCCCTAAAATAGGTCAGCTGACTCTGAGGGTTTACAATGGGGACTGAGCAAGTGGCAGTAATGGCTCTGCTGCTGAGACAAGAGGGTGTGTTAGTGTGCCTGACTCCATCTGTTCAGAGGGCAAATGTTGGCAGTTCCGCATTCTAGGCCTAAGGTTTGGGAGCACAGGGAAGGTTGACAGTCTATAACACTTGGGTAGATGGGCTGCCCTGTGGTCAGGACAATGACCACAGGGCTTCATGTCCCTTCAAGAATGGGGGATGGGGAAGACAGGTAATACGGACAGGTAGATAAAATGAAGGGTAGAATTTGGTAATATAGTAGAGGAACAGAGGATCAGGGCTCAGGAACAGGTATGGGCATAAAGTGTCCAGGACTAAAATGATGACCTAAGGAATGGCTAGTGTCCAGAGTAATATGGATTCATTTTTGAAGTGGCTCAAATAAAGCCCTAAATAGCAGCTGCTTCCTTTTGCTAGGTGAATGGAAATTAGAATTTCAAATATTCCTTCTCAAAGAGCCACATCACATTAGAGATTCCTGGCACCCTTAGGAGAAACTGCCAGCTCTATGATGAGATGAGATTAGCACAACCCTGGCAGGGATGTAGGGTACGAACTCTGCACAGTACTGTTTAAAAAGAAAGCCGTGGCTCTCGGAGAGGAAAGGGGTGACTCTTACCACCTGCTGTGCTGCAGGGCTCTAGCCCTGTTCTGCTCTCTTCTAGGGGCATCTGCTAGAACATACAGAAACTCCTGTCCCCCTGTCCTCCTGGGCCCAGGTTGTGGGGTATAACTGCTCTGCCTCCAGTCATCATCTGGGGGCATATCTACTCTCCGAGGACCAGGGGATCGAGACCCTGGAACAGGACCCAAATTCCAAGCTGACCTCAGGGGAACATGAAGACTGCTTAATGGTGGGGACACAGAGTGAACAATGGGAGCGGGGGAGGGTGAATGGAAAAGATCTCCCCATGACTGAGCATGAGGAACACGATGGCCCTGGTGTCTTTCTGGTAGTGTGGCAGAGTGGGTTAGCTGAGGCTTGTACCCTGGAGTAGTCAGGAATCTAGCCCCAACATGCTGGTTGGCCTCTGACCACAGTCCCCAAGAGGCATCTGTTCTGTTACGATGGGGGAGACTCCGGTAGTTCAAAGTCGTTCCTGCGTACTTGACCCGTTGGGAAGTTTCACCCCTGTCACACATAGCCAGAAACGGCTGGACGCTCCTTGAAGTTCCTGGGAAGAGAAAAGAACCAAAGATTGAGCATCTTCAGTAAACCATTCTCCTTCCCAGAGGACCCTTCTTGGCTGTTCCTCCCAAATCTCCACCCCTCTAAGAGCATACACACAAGGGGAAGGAGGAGCCTACCTTTGCTTTTAATTTCATTTTTAATTACATCAAAATCAAGTCTCTTACCTTCAACCTTGGCAAATAAAGTAGTCTCCTGGATGCTGCCATACCTCATTCCACTACACACACATACACACACACACACACACACACGAATGTCTCCCTAATACTGCAAATGTATACTCTCATTGTGACAACTCTACTCCTAGAGCCACCACTCCAAAACATCACTCGTTTTCTTATCACGGTACCTTCACTCCATTTAAGCTGTCTCTGCTACATTCTTGCACATTCTGAGATCTCTGCTTTTATTCTCACCTCCCACATATGCAATGTGAAATGTCTTTTCTATATATTAATTCTCCTTTATGTAAAAGAAACAAAATAACTAACTTCAAAAATCACTTCTAAAAAATACTTCCCATTCTTCAATTTTATATCCCATCAACATCTGTACTATTTTGTCATATGATGTATGTATGCATATTTTGATTTAGACACTGAGCTTTTTAAGAGTAGAGAGCGGCCTTCTTTCTCCTCTGAATTCACTATAGCATTTGGTGCAGAACAGGCGGCAATAAATGCTGACTGTATGATCAGACGCCTTTAACAATTGTGAAAGGAAGCTGGCTAGCTGGCTGCTCCACAGAATAATAGAAAGTCCATCTATCCAGAAGGCCTGCTTATCCAAAGCTTGCTAAAATGTGGACCCAGCCCTAGCTGGTTTGGCTCAGTGGATAGAACACTGGACTGTGGACTGAAGAGTCCCGGGTTCGATTCCAGACAAGGGCATGTATCTCGGTTGCAGGCTCACTCCCCAGCCCAGTCGGGCCGTGTAGGAGGAAACCAATTGATGTCTCTCTCTCACATGGAAGTTTTTTTTTCTCTCTCTAAAAAATGAATGGAAAAATATCCTCGGGTGAGGATTAACAACAACAACAAAAATGTGGACACAAATATCAACAATATTACTCTATCTTCTGTTCTAGAACCACAACCACCCCCTGTCCTAAGGCATTTATATCCATAAGCCAACGTTTCTTAACCTTAGAACTACTGATATTTGGGGCTGATAATTCTTTGTTTGGGGGATAAAGGAGTGCAGGGAAACTGCCCTGTGCATTGCAGGATGTTTAGCACATCCCTGGCCTCTACCAATTAGATGCTAGTATCACTTCCCCTTTCCCATGAGAATCAGTGCCTTAAACTGTAGATTCAGCCCACAAAGAGGAAAGGAAGCAAATCTCACTATGTATTAGTAGAAAGCCAGATGGATGCTGCCCACCTTCCGCAGGATTGTTTGGATCTGTCTATGTGGCATGGGTATTCCATGTACAGGGTCTTCCCAAGACTCCCATTCACTCCATGTCCTCCTAGACCAGTGGTTCTCAACCTTCTGGCCCTTTAAATACAGTCCCTCATGTTGTGACCCAACCATAAAATTATTTTCGTTGCTACTTCATAACTGTAATGTTGCTACTGTTATGAATCGTAATGTAAATATCTGATATGCAGGATGGTCTTAGGCGAACCCTGTGAAAGGGACGTTTGACCGCCAAAGGGGTCGCGACCCACAGGTTGAGAACCGCTGTCCTAGACCATCCTTCAACTAAGACTTAGGGGATACAAGGAGAGAAAACTAATAAAGATGATACTTTGTTTTGGGGGGATCCTAGAGACTGGGTATTAACTACCCTGGGTCACTTAAAAGCTTATTCTATCAGGACTGAAGCAGTTCATTTTCATGGGTAGTTAGATTCTGGGAACTCTGGTTTAGACCCTTAGTCTAAGAACCATGTTGCCCAAGAAATGACTCAATCACAATTCATCTAGCTCAATGCTTGATCTTAAAACAATAATTTATGTCCCTTTACAACCCCACCTTGAGACACACACACACACACACACACACACACACACACACACACCCCTACCTATAGTTGGACTAGTTTGAACCTTAGGTCCCTGGAAAGGTACACACATTCTGGCACATAATATTAGACTTGGGGAGAGTTACCTGGGGGTCTATGGGGCTCCCCTGCTATGCTGGGCATCAAGACTTCTGGGGACAGGAGCTGTGGTTGGGGTGGGTAGAGCTGGGGACCAAGGAGAAACACAGGAGGGTCATGAGTGACAGGGAGGGAAGAGGAGCTGGAACAACGGTGCCCGGTTTCCAAAGCCTTTTTCCTTGCGTTTGATGAATCCTTATAATGAGACGACAAAAAACACAGAGATGAAAATTAACACATAGCAGGATATGGTTAGGTAAACACAGCGAGGCAATGAGGGGGAGATGGAGGGAACTAAAGTGCAAACATGCCTTGTTCTGGAAAGGACTCAGTTTACTCAGCCACTCTTCCTGTTAGTCTTGTTAGAAATTCCTGATCACTATAAACTGGAGACACCAAACTGTAGATCCTCTTCTCTTAACTTATCTTCCTCATAGCCTTCACCTTCCCAACCCTACCACCTACGTCTTTAGCAAACTCCTTAATGCTAACAGTAGAATTAGAGAGAGAGAAATAGAAATTTAAAAATAAAGAAGAAATGAGAGCAATTATGAAAGCCTGAGAGATTGAAAAAGAAAATTCTATTTTCTCTCGAAATATTGGGAACCAAAATATATATCCTTAAGTGTACAATCAAGAACTCTACTACTACATTTTCTTTTCTCTCACTGCTACATTCCACAATCTCCTTTTTTGCCTGTCAAGCTTGCACCCACTGATGCTTACCAGTATACTCTGCTTTATACTCCATTAGTCACTCACTTTTGTGGCAAAATCTCAGAAATTTCCCCTTTAACATTTGAAACACTAATATGTACACAAGTGAACCAACATTCTTTCAAACTCCTCCTCCAGGTATCACATTTTTTTAAGTCATCCATACTCAAATGTTGACATTGCCCTTAATTTTGCACCTTTTATCCACAATTCCATTAGTTGCCTTTGCCAAGGACTGTTATTTCTACCAATAGGTTTCATATTTCAACTTAACTGGGCCCTGGAGACAACCTCCGATCTGATCTTCCTATCTCCACTATAGCCCGCTACCTCATTCCTGTGGCCTGCAAGTTCCTATGTGATACAGCAATGCCAATCTTTCTCACTGATCTCCAACACCATTCCTGCACCTTTTACACTCTAACCTTCTTACTGTTCCTCAAACACACCACGCTCATTTCACCTTGGGCTCTTTACACTAACTGCTCCTGTTACCTGGAATGCTCTTCCATGGTGCACACCTTCGTATCACTGAGGCCTCTGATCAAATATTACTTCCTTAGAGCCGATTTCCCTCCCTACTCTATCAAAAATAACCCTGAGGCCCTGGCTGGTTTGGCTCAGTGGATAGAACGTTGGACTGCGGACTGAAGGGTCCCGGGTTCAATTCCAGTCAAGGGCACATGCCCGGGTTTCGGGCTCGATCCTCACTGGGGGACATGCAGGAGGCGACAGATCAATGACTCTCTCATCACTGATGTTTCTATTTCTCTCTCCCTCTCCTTTTTTCTCTAAAATCAATAAAAATATATTTTAAAAAAATAACCCTGAGAATAACCAGTTACCTCCTTACTCCTTTTCTCCTCTTGCTTTGTTTTATTCTTCTTTATCATACATTGTCTAGGATTAACTTGTTTATTGTCTTTCTCTCCTAGTAGAATACATTTCTTTTTACTCCAGTATCCCCAGCACCTTGAACATCACCTGGAATATTACAGGCACTTTATAAATATTAAACAAAATAATCTATATGCCAGTATATCTTATTTCCTTTACTAGACTGCAAGTTATTTAAGGACAGAATTTGTGTTGTTTTATCAGTATGCTCACAGCATCTACCATAGCATGGCACATAGGCATTTACCATATAACCTAAAGACCAAGTACTCTTAGCATGTGACACAAACAACTATTCCTTTCTTCTGGACAGAAGAAAGTGACACCACACTTCCCTGTTTTCCCTCTATCTCTTTGGTCCCTTTTGCCTAGTCCTCTTTTTGAGTTCTTCAGAAGAACTACCTTGAATCTGACACTTTTCAGGGATATATCCTGGTCTTCTCGTTAACAATATTCTTTTCCTCTTTTCAATGGCTATGATGCTCAAATCTCAACTTCAAGCCTATTATGTCTCACATCTAAAGGCCTACCACATATCTCCACTCAAGCTTAACATAGGATGGGCAAAAGCAGGCTTACAGTTATGACTACACAAAACACAGAGTTTATTCTTGTATTATTTATTAACTAGAGACTAGAGACCCGGTGCACAAAATTCGTGCGGGAGGGGCGGGGTGGTCCCTCAGCCCAGCCTGCACCCTCTCCAATCTGGGACCCCTTGAAGGCAGTCAGACATCCCTCTCACAATCCAGGACTGCTGGCTCCCAACCGCTTACCTGCCTGCCTGCCTGATTGCCCCTAACCACTTCTGCCTGCCAGCCTGATCACCACTTAACCACTCCCCTGCCAGCCTGATAGATGCCTAACTGCACCCCTGCCGACCTGATTGCCCCTAATTGCCCTCCCCTGCTGGCCCGGTCACCCCTAACTGCCCTCCCCTGCCAGCCTGATTGCCCCTAACTGCCCTCCCTTGCCAGCCTGGTTGCCCCCAACTGCCCTCCCCTGCAGGCCATCTTGTGTCCACATAGGGGTGGCCGTCTTGTGTGTTGGAGTGATGGTCAATTTGCATATTACCTCTTTATTATATAGGATTCCCATATGAGCTGTAAACCTACTTTTGCCCCACCCTATATATCCAAAATTGTATAATTCTCTTCCCTCAAATATATTCTTACTTCTCTTCCCTCAAATATATCATTATCAATCAACTCATAATTCCTGGATATGATCTTTCATTCTCCTTTCCCCATATCCACGCAGGCAGGCACCAACCCATTGATTTTTGCTTCCTAATTGGCTCTCCAGTATGTCCACTTCTCTCTATCTTCCCAAACTTCTTACTGTGGTTCATGATATAACCCTTGTTTATATTCTGTCCCGTCTCACTTGTCAACACTCTCCATTCTTCCCTTGTCAGATTCTAATCTTGCCATACCAAAGTAGCTTCTTTTAATTCAGTTAGCATCTGCTTCAGGTCCCTTTACCTGTTATATATATACTAGAGGCCCGGTGCACAAAATTCATGCATGGCGGGGGGGGGGGGGGGGCGGGGGGTCGG